AAACAACATGATGATCTCTTTCATATTATTCGTCCTATAAGACTTATTATATTATCAGTTTTCAATTTCAACCACAAATACTTGGTAAAACTAACATAAAATATCTTGATACATTCAATAATGAAGTGTTGCTAACATGTAACTATTAGGAATTGCAGTACCATCTATATTTCATAAGAAATTATTTATTCGAGTAGCTATTATTAATCATAGAATTATACTTGGAGATTTTCACATTTTTTCTTGATAGTCTCTTCAAAATGTATCAAATTAGAATTCAAACATATTCTAACCAAAGTAATTGAATAAACACTTATTCTCTTTTCTTTTCAATAACAATTAAATTAACGTCAATGAGAAACACAAAATTTCACTTTATGTTATAGCATCTATTCTAAAACTTTGAGATTCATTTTCCCAAATGGGTAGAGAAATATTTTTTCATTAACTTTATTTAAGTATCAACTGAATCTTGTAAATGTCCCTATGCACATTATAAAATAAATAAATGGAAGAAATATTTATTTTTATTGTATGACATATTAGAAAAAGGAGAAAAATGAATAATAACATTTATTCACTAACAATTTGTTGGACTATAGAACAATTCATTATTGTTTGTATTGACGGCATCGGTCAAATAGAATAGATGAGTATATATGCATATAAATATTGGCATTCATAAGTTGAAAAGAAGAATAGATCAATAAAAATAAACATGGAATATTCATGCATTGGATTAAATAATTTACCTGATGAAATTCTTATGATTATTTTTCAAAAATTGAACAATATTGACGTACTTTATTCTTTCCATGATGTCAATCAGCGACTAAATAAAATAATTTATGATCGAACTTTTACAAGTCATTTAACTTTTGTCAAATGGTCATTAGATAATTGTATTGATCTATTTTCTTCTGATATAATGTTTTATCGATTTTGTTTACAAATTTTACCTTCGATTCATGATAAAATTCAACGGCTTGATCTTGATTCATCATCTATAAAACATGTTTTACGTGTTGCCAATTATCCTAACTTAGATAGTCTTGGTCTTTATAATATTGATGAAGAGTCAGCTCAATGTATTTTTAATGGTAAGAAATTTGTATTTGAATTCTTTTTATTCTAAACAAATGAAAGATTTATCAAAGACTATATTATTGAATATATTGATTATATATGTTTAGATGAAACTCTTTCGAGTATTTTCAAAAATCGGATAACAACACTTGTTATTACAATATATAATAATAATGATGATAATTATGAAGGGAAGATACTGTCAGTGATAAATACATGTGATAAAATCTTCACTGTTTTCACTCATCTGACTTCTTTTGTATTATATGAATCATCGTATAAAAATCGTGTTCGATTAAGTTTTGATGATCTATTATATCCTAATTTTCGTTCTTCAATTCTTTTGAAATTAATTATCAACGTACATTCTTTTGATGATTGTTTTTATCTTCTCGATGGTCGTTTTGATCAACTTCACACGTTCCATGTCGATTTGGCTAATACTTGGTGTCCAGATGAAATTAAAAATCAAGTTAGTTTTACAAGAAAAAAATTCAATGTTGTCAAACAATAAAACATTTTACTTTTTAGGGCGATTTACCAAATCTAAAGTGTTTTTCTCTTTCCTGTAAACTCGCAACATATGCTTATAATGAAGCCATTCTTCCACTCCTCTATCGAATGTCAAATCTAGAAGAACTCGGGTTATGTCTTACGGTATATGTCAATAAAACATTTATTGATGGAAATCATCTAAAGACAAAAATTATTAAGCAAATGCCACGATTAAATCAATTTACATTTTTCATTAGATCATTCATGGATATTTGTAATGAAATGAGTTTACCATCAACAGAAGATATTCAACAAACATTGATTGACTTTCCATTTAATAAAATAATTTCTTATGTTGATAATTTTGCAGATAGAAAAAAAAGTCAATGTTATATTTATTCATATCCATTTCTAATGCGATATTATACCCGCATTACAAATAATTTTCCAGGTGGTTTATTTAAACATGTTCGTGTGGTGTCATTATTTGATGAACAACCTTTTGAACATGAATTTTTTCTTCGAATTCAGAAATCATTTCCATTTATAGAAGAATTATCTTTAGTTAATCATAAACCACAAAACCGAAAACAATCTTATGTATCAAACAGTGATAATCAAACTTTATCGCTTATTGAATATTTTTTTCTTAATAAACTTTATATTAGCAAAGTTCATGATGATTATATAGAACAATTTCTTTTTGATACTAAAACGTATTTGCAAAATAATGTTATTCTTTCTGTCGATTATGAATCGTTACAACGAGTAACACACAATTTTACAAGAGATGCTACTCGAACTAATTGTGCCAAAATAAGTAAATTACATACATGGGGTCAAGGAAAATGTTCCAATTCTTTAGAAGAATATTTTCCTTATGCAAAAATATGTTATCGATTATATTGTAAGACAAAAAAACAATAAAGTATTAAATAAAAGAAAAACAGAATAAAATAAGAGAAAAATGTTTTTTTTTTATTGTTGTAAAAAAATAAAATTTCTATAGAGATGAAAATAATCATGTGTAATAAGTAGAAATCTGAGAAATAAATTAATTTTGTTTAAACATATATATACAGGGTGATCCAAAAGTCTTGGTACCTCTCAGAAAAATTGTTCGTTCTTCCTTATAGTAAATTCCTAAATGCTCAAACTTTGGTATCATATTCTATGTAACATGGCCAATGTTATCCTAAGTTTTCATCTCACTATCCTGACAAATAAGGGAGATGTATAGACTACCATTTTTGAAACCTTATTTTCACCAGGCCGCAAAAATAATAGTTGGCGTATAATAAACGGACTACTTTTGTATTTCATTTTTTCGCCATTTGATACGTTCTATTAAAAAATACAAAATATACTACAAGATGCAGCGTAAAAAGCTCTACAATCTACACAGTAAAGCGTATTTTAATTATATAGTTTTTGGTTTCAAAAAAAAGCAAAACTATGCGATCAAATATGGTCATCATAAAAAAAATCTTTTTTTTCTACACGAACGAAAAATTCATCTTTTTTTACCCCTTTTGTCACCTAATAGATTTTATTAAGAAAAAGCAAAGTATATCACAAGATGCAGCGTGAAAAGCTCTACAATCTACACAGTACAGTATATTTCAAT